TCTCAAACATATTGTGTTGGATTGAGAAATGGCAAGAGAGAAATATAGTAGAATTGTCTGATTGAGGATTGAGGGCCTTAAACAGTGTTTTTTTGTTTGTTTGTTTGTTTTCTGAGACAGGGTCTTGCTCTGTTGCCCAGGGTGGAGTGCAGTGGTGTGATCTTGGCTCATGGCAACCTCTGCCTCCCAGGTTCAAGCAATCCTTCCACCTCAGCCTCCCAAGTAGCTGGGATTACAAGCATGTGCCATCGCACTGGACTAATGTTTGTATTTTTAGTACAGACAGGGTTTCAGCATGTTGGCTAGCTGGTCTGGAAATTCTGACTTCCAGCGATCCACCTGTCTTAGCCTCCCAAAGTGCTGAGATCACAGGTGTGAGTCACTGCACCTGACCAAGAGTTTTGGTTTTATCCAACTCGGAATAGGAACTATTCAGCTACTGATTTTTTTTAAAAAACTAACTTGTATTGCATAATCACATTTTAGAAAAGTAATTTTCCTGAAATATATAGAATAGAGTTAAAAGATTATTTGAATAACATAAATATAATTGAAATGAGTATGTTGAGAATTAAAACGCTGTTTAGTAAGATCCACACCAAAATATATGTGCAAGGTTGGAATCTATCACTCTTTGTAACTAATGCCAAGAATCAACATCTTTGGAAAATACTTCAAAAGCGTTTCAATGAACCTGGAGCAGTGACTCGTGCCTGTTATCTCAGCACTTTGGGAGGTCAAGGTGGGTGGATCACTTGAGCTCAGGAGTTCGAGACTACCCTGGGCAACATGGTGAAACCCCGTCTCTACCAAAAATACAAAAAAATTAGCTGGGCATGGTGACAAGCACCTATGGTCCCAGCTACTCAGGAGGCTAAGATGGGAGAATCTCTTGAGCCTGGGAGGTTGAGGCTGCAGTGAACCGAGATTGCACCACTGCACTCCAGCCTGGGTGATAGAGTGAGATCCTGTCTCAAAAAAAAAAAAAAAAAAAAAAAAAAAAAAAAAAAAAAAAAAGCCTAAAACAACAACAACAACAACAACAACAACCACCAATAAAAAAAATAAAAAAAGAATTTCAAGCCTGGTGAGGTGGCTCACACCTCTCTGTAATCCTAGCACTTTGGGAGGCCAAGGCGAGAGGATCACATGAGTTCAGGAATTCAAGATCAGCCTGAGCAACAGACTTAGACCTCATCTCTACTAAAACTAAAAAATTAGCCAGGTGGAGTGGCAGGCACTGGTAGTCGCAGCTACTCAGGAGGCTGAGGCAGGAGGACCCCTTGAGGCCAGGAGGTCAAAGGTGCAGTGAGCTGTGTTTGCACCACTGTACTCTAGCCTGGGCAACAGAGCGCGACCGTGTCTCAAAAAAAAAAAAAAAAGAGTTTTAGCTAACCAAAATTTTAGTTAACTAAAATTTTAGTGAGACGGGAGAAAGAAATTTTGAGATCTGTTGTACAGCAGAGTGACTATAGTCAATAATAATGTACTGTATATCTTAGAATAACCAAGAGAGTAAATTTCAAATGTCTCACCACAAAAATGATGTGAGGTGACAGTTATGTTAATTCATTTGATTTAATTACTCCACATTGTATACATATATCAAAATATCACAACATACTCCATAAATATATACAATTATGATTGTCAATAAAAATAACATTAATAAAAATAAATAAATTTTCAAAAAGCTTAAAAAAAGAAACTAACACCCAATGGATGAAAATGATTGGTATTAACCTGTTCCTGGTTGCCATTCTTTTTAATTGCTGAGTAATATTCTATTAGGCAAATACAGTTGTCCCTCAGTACTCTCAGGGGGACTGGTTCCAGGAACAACCCCTCCATACCAAAAGCAGTGGATGTTCAAATCCCTTATATAAAATGGCATGGTGTTCCATCCTCCTATTATTTTAACTCATCTCCAAATTATTTATAATACCTAGTACAAAGTAAGTGTAATATAAGCAGTAGTTATAGTGTACTTCTATTTGTGTTTATTTATCTCTGTAGTTCTTTTTATTCTTTTTCCCTTAATATTTTTGATCTTCAGTTTTTGAATCTACAGATGTGGAACCCATGAACATGGAGGGCTGACTGTATATCGTAATTATCTGCTCTGTTGTTGATACATTTGGAGTTGTTCCTGCTTTTGCTTATTACAAGCAAAGCTTGGCATAAACATTTATGTCCAACTTTTTTTTTGGAGGACGTAGATTTCCATTGTCTTGGATGAATCCTTAGAAGTGTTGAGTCATATGTTAGGTGTAGGTTTATAATTATAAAAATTACCAAAATTTCCCAAGGTGATTTTAATATTTTGTAATCCTACCAATATATGTAGGAGAGTTCTGGTTTTCCATATCCTTGTCAATATTTGATGATGTTAGTCTTTTTAATTTTAGTCATTTTTGTGGGCATGAAATGGTATCTCATTTTGGATTTAATTTGTATATTTCTGCTGACTAATGATATATAATACTTTTTCATATGTTTATTGGCCATTTGTAAATTTTCCTTTCTCAAATGCCTGTCCAAATCTTTTGCCCGTTAAACAAAGTTGTTCGTGTTTATTGTTGAATTGTAGGAGATGTTTTCTATAATCTAGGAATTGTGTGTATCAGAATATTTTCAGCTATCAAGAGTATTCAGATATATGTATCATCTAGACTGTGGCTTGTCTATTCATTTTCTTAATGGTGACTTAGGATAAGTGGAAGCTTTTAATTTTGATGAAGTCTCTGTCTTTTTTTTTTTTCTATTATGGTAAGAGCTTTGTGTATCCTAAGAAATTTTTGCCTACTGCAAGGTAAGAAAGCCATCTTTTAAAAAAGCTATATTATATTTTAATAGTGTCATATATTTTAGCTTTTATGTTGAGGTGTACAATTCATCTTGAATAAATATTTGTGTTTACAATGTAAGATAAGAGATGGAGTTCATTTTTTCCTCATTGATGTTACATTACTGGGCATTGACTTTTAAAAAATTGTTTTATTTTATTTGTAATTTAGAATAATTGTATATATTTATGGGTTACAATGTGATGTTTTGATACATGTATACATTGTAGTATGATCAAATCAGGCTCATTATCTGTCACCTCAAATATTTATCATTTCCTTGTAGTGAGAACATTTGAAATCCTCTCTTTTAGCTATTTCGAAATAGGCAACATTATTATTAACTATAGTCACTGTGCTGTGCAATAGAACACCAGAGCTTAGTTCTCCTCTCTAACTGAAACTTTATACCTATTAACCGATGTCCCCCTTTTCCCCATCCACCTTTCTGTCCTCCAGCCACTGGTAACCACCATTATACTTTCTATTTTTACAAGTTTGTCCTTTTTAAAATTTCACATATAAGTGAGATTATATGGTATTTGTCTCGCTGTGCCTGGCTTATTTCACTTAGCATAATGTCCTCTAGGTTCATCTATGTTGTTGCAAATGACAGAATTTCCTGTTTTTATAGGGCTGAATAGTATTCCTGTGTGTGTGTGTGTGTGTGTGTGTGTGTGTGAGAGAGAGAGAGAGAGAGAGAGATACATAATATATATCCATTTATCTGTTGAAACACTTAAGTTGTTTCCATGACTATTAGAATAGTGCTGCAATAAAAATGGGAGTGCAGACATCTCTTCGACATACTGATTTAATTTCCGTGGGATTGGGAAATTGACTTTTGATAAGCAAACTTAGTATACAATATCTCAAAGGCCAGAATGCCAGTTATTTTGTGTTATAAATTGTTTGGCTATCAATTCGTATTTTTGCATGAGATAGTTATCTTGCAGGTAGGCCCTTTGAGAAGACTAGAAGGTAGTCTTGATTGATTCTTCTTGAAACTGAAATTAGAGTAAAGGGACATCCAAACTCTTATCCAATGAACTACAATGACATACAACTCACTCAAGCCTTTCTTTTTCTAAATTTTCTTCCCAAATAAAACAGCAGCAGCAACAACAAAGACAGCAAAACCTTATGCGTTTCTTACAGCTTTATGATGTGTTTCAGTGTCTACAATGACTGCTGAGTTTGCATCTGTTGCATGTTATATCTTTCTGGTAACATATGGAAGAAGGTTCATATTCATATAAGGATGCTAGATCTAAAACATAATGTGGAATCATGTACAACTCAGTACTACTTGGTAGCAATAACCAGAAACCCACCTTCAAGGAGTGTAAGCAAAAAAGGAATTGAATTAGATTACATAATTTGACAAGTCCAAAGGCTGGAGTTGGTTAAAGCAAAATTTGTATTGAAAATTTTTCTTACATAAAAAAGGTAAAACAAATTTGGTAAACCTAATTATTTTTATAGTGCAAGTAGTTAACTGTTGTCATTCCAGGAAACTATTATTTGTGGATAGTAAAACTGTTTGGAGACTTTAAAAATACCCTATAACAGTTAAAGGCAGAGCAAATTACTTAAATAAAATTGCGATATTTACCCTAAATAGTAACAGTACAATTTGCATCAGTTCTCTAGGAAATTATCTGCAATTAAAAAAAAAAAGGAACTGAAATTAATCAGTATTAATTTGATGTGTTAACTCAAATTAATCAGTATTTTCTTTGTACACTCAGATTGCAACCTAAGTATTAGTCTATTGAGTTTGGTTTAGTGGATATTTATTCAGGAATTTTACAAAAACAAGGAAACAGAGAAGAGGAATAGTGCCGTGCAGATGACCTCGGGGTTCAGGCGACACTCAAATACCTCCTTCTCCTCTGTGTTTATTACCATCTCTTACTTGGTTGACGTTTAGACATATTGCAGGAGATAGTTGAAAAGCAGAGGTTAACTGCATTTCCAGTGGTGTTTTGCCCTGCTGGTATTTGTTCCTCGGTGCTGCTGTGCAAAGGGCCAGAGCTGCATCCAACGGATCTTTTCTTCAGGTTGTGCAGGCTGGCTGCCTTGATGTCGTAGTTGCTGATGTTGGCTGCCGACGAACCTTATTCCTTTACATTTGCCTGGTCCTCATTTAACCGGAAAACACAGTAGCTGTAGCTGCACATAGACTTTTCCTCTTTCTGTTTCCCCCTCATCCCCCTCCCTAGACTTCTCTGGGCTTTGACGTCATGTGTGCTCCTTTCAGTTGCCATAGCAACCCCATTCCCCAAGCCCTCTGTCCGTCTCCTCTGGTAGGTTCCACAATGGTACAGGCAGCATCACGCTGCACAATGGTTTCCAGGCAGTGAAAGAGGGTGATTCAGCAAGCCACTCTTCTTCTTTTTTCTTTAACCTCTCCTTCACTTTTTATTTTTATGGGGGTGGGTGGTGCTTGCTATATGCTTACCTTTTTCTTTTCTTTTTTCATTTTTACGAATTTCCTTTTTTGTCCTCACCCCTCAATTCCTAGGGGCTTGAGTGAGTTTAAGATTGGGTTTTCTTGGAAATCACCTGTCCGTCGTTAATTTTAAACAATCTCCCTATCTCCAAAGAATCTCTTCCATATTACAGTCTGGAATGTGGTTAATGAAAAACAAGTAGGGAGGATTTCTGGGGCAAACACTGCCGGATCAGGATCGTAGTTCTCAGGCACGGAATGGTAGGTGGCTCTTTGCTCGTTCTGGGTTCTAACCTGTTTTTGGAGGGTGGGGTGATGTCTGTTGATTGCTCTTGGTGGGGCGGGAGAGGGAGTATGGAAGAGACGAGAGAGATGGGTGGAAAGCAGGTTAATCAAGTGAACTAGCTTTGAGGCAAGAAGCCACCAGCTTTTCCCTCTGTGCAGAACATCTCTTCCCAGACTTGGGCGTGTTGAAACCTTTCTGTTTGGAGTGAGGGGTAGCAGAGGGAGGGAGGGAGCATTCTTATTGTGACCAGGGGTTTTTAGACCAATGCAGGGCTACAGAAGGGAAGGGAGAGAGAGAGAGAGAAGCACACACACACACACACACACACACACGCACACACACGCACACAGAGAGAGAGAGAAAAAGAAAAAAAAACACCAAACAGCTGTGCTTGTTAGAAGTGCTGACCTTAGTCCCATATCTGAAAAATGTGATGGGTTCCATAAAACATTAAAAATAATGTCTTTTAGTATGTATTTATGTCTACTTTTGTGAGAAGTATAACTTAAATATTTTAAGATGTATTTTACTAAGGAACAGTATTTATATATATATTAGGTGTAAAACTATTGGCGTTACTCTTGCAGAGCAACTCCAGGCTGAATCTGAGCTGGGGAGAGGAACACAGAACAGGGGTCAGGTTAGAGATAAGAGGAAACATTGGCACTGCAGTCAAATAGGTAACGGGTCCCTTTAAGAAAGTGATCTCCTAGTCACAGCAGGCAGCTTTCTTTTTTCATGGCAAGGTTCCCAGGTATTCTGTGCTGGGATACTGTGTCCCCTACAAATGTCAGAGCTCTTTTGAAAAAAAAAATCAGAAATAAGTATGGCAGTATATTTATTAGGATCTACGTGTTTGTGTCTTCAACAAAATAAATGTAATTTACTGGAAAATCTATAAGTAAATCAGGCTATAGATATTACAAGAAAACTATCTATCCATGTATTTTTCTCACCGTCCCCCTACATTTAAATCTAGAGACCTAGTCTCTGCTTTTACTCCCTTAAACAGATAACTTCCCAGGGTACTGCAATGTAGCCACAGAAAAAGAATGGCTTATCCCACAGCAGTAGGCTCTGAAGCCATCACAAGGTTGTTTACATGGGCTGCCTTTGGTGCAGAGCCTGACAGTGTCTGTACAGCAGCCCTGCCTGCTTCTGGCCATGTTGATGATAACTTTTATGAACAAACTGCAAGGAAGCAGGCTAAGTCATATGGGACAGGCCACAGTTCAGGTGGAAGGAAAATGAGTGTAAATGCACCAGGCATTGCCAGTACAACATCCGATATCTCCTTCTATCCCTAATCTGTTAGTTGTCAGACCCTGGAAGATCTCACAGAATGCTTATCAACATATTTAAAATGGTTACAGTCAGGAACATTTCTCTCAGAGAAGCTTCTGTGAATTTTCTACTTTAGGTGAGCATATATGTTATGAATATATAACAAATAAATATATAAATATATCACAAGCTTCTGACTCCACTTCAGAACCATTAGATTTTAGGGGTTGGATGCTTTGGATGTAGCAGTTTGGCTGCCTCTGGTATGTATGCCCCTCTCTACCTTGATCACACTCTTAAAATTGACATAAAGTATTGGATTAGCTTATTTTATTATGTAGAGCAAGCTGGGTTTTCTCTCCCCTACAATGGGACTAGAAAATCAGATGACAAAGGTGGTGTGACCTTAAATATCAGAGAGTCTTCATGTTTCCTCATATGCATGTCATTCCTCTGCTGTTGCAAAGTGTCTTTAATTTGAGGGGCTCCTGTTCTTAAAAAATCCTCACAGTTTCAGTAAAAAGATTCTGGATAATGAGGCAGTAAGAAATTACATGTAGAGTGGGAAAATCAGCTGCCTCCAGCTTCCTTCCTGCTCGCCCCAGAACAGCATCTGCTGTTGAGAGGAGTGTGTTTGCCATGCTGGAAGGGGATGTTTATGAACAGATCCCAGAGGGGCTGAGTGTGTTTTTGCTGTCATTGTCTGGTATGTCTGCAGCTATTAGTATTTAATGGTCTCATAGTGCATGGTCTATATATTTTAAGGTTAGAATGATCTGAGAATTTGTCAATGCTATAAAATGTAAATATTTTAAATTTATAGGAAAATGAATAAGATTTTCCTTCTTAGTATATCCTACAGGAATATCATAAGCAAAACAAATTTGCCCAACCTAAGTAATCTAAAAAAACCTCCCATGTTTAAAGGCATAAATATATTTTTAAGGTTTTATTGTGGTTTCATGTAAATGAATCTGTTTCTTTGGATGTAAGCCTAGTTATAAATTCTTTTTATACTGATACTAAAAGCTAAAGACAAATTGGATGTTTACTTGTTTGTGAAATATGGGGATAGATGTTCTCTCTTCATGCTCTAGTTCTGGCCTCAGGTCACATTTGTAGCCAAAGGACTTTCAGTGGAATTGTGTTCACACCGAGTGATCGCTTGGGTTCTTATCAGAATAAAGGACTCGGAGCAAGAGAGGCTGCCTTCAATTAGAATGAGAAGCAAACACATTGTTGTCTTAAATTCTTTCTTCATTGCCCTTTCTATTTCCTCTTACAGTCTCTTTTAAGCTTTTGGTTGGACATTGCAACAATCATGCCGAAAGAGGCACGGAAGTGTCCAGTAGTGACAAGAATGGAGTACAATGCTCTATTTGCTGCAGGACTGCTGAGTGCCTTCCTCCTACCACACATGCATCTATTATTACACCTTCTTCTGAGGACCAAGGACTTGTGGAAAAAGTTGGGCCTGTAGACTAGTTGGGGAGACGCTTACTGGTAAAGAAGAACAGAGTACATTTGCTTCTTTGGCATATTGGATGTATTTATTGCATTACATAAGTCTGAGATGAGACACTGTACTGCTGATTCAGATAAAAAGATCATGCTGCATATTGATTGTTTAAAAAATGTAACTTAGAATTCGAGCCCATCTTTTCACAAATTCACCTACCTGTACGTGTTTGCATAGCGAAGTTGTAAGGTTTTGACTCAAGGTTTTTCAGTTTGAGTACATTTTATCCTCATGAGCCAGTCAAGGCAGAGAAGGGGAAAATACAAAAACTGTGTTTTATGTACCTTTTGTTTTCTGTATTTAAGAGGGTTTATTTCTTATTGTGAATCTTGGTAGAAACTCTTAAGAGGAGATATCAGGTAATATTGAAAATCACTAAATAGAAACATTTTAGGTTTAAAAAGTAGACCTCACACATATATTACTTCTAGTAAATGATTTTCTAGTTTATTTGATGTTTTGGATCCATAACAAGCCATTATGGCTTTCCTTACAGTTCTTATCTCTGGTGACTATGAGATGTAAAACCCTTGAGGCTTATGGAAATAATGCTCGTAGGAATGGAAATTAAAGTTTTCAGTGGAAAGAGAAATGAATACAGTCTCCTGAGAAGCATCCCTAACCACAGCTGCTCTAAAACCCTGTGTGGTGTGCAGGTTTAAGGCAAAGCTTCCCTATAGGGCAATCGGGCAGTTGCAGTGACCTACACAGTAATAAACAGGATTTTCACTACCTTGTGTTTGTACGTGTGTGTGTGTGTGTGTAAAGAAAAACAAAAACAAAAACAGCAGTGACTTTAAAGTTCTAGAAATTCATCTTAGTGACTTGTCTTCATAGAAATAAAACTGACTCCTGTTTGTCTGTGTTAACCTGCCTGGGTACCCTGTGTACTTTCTGAAAATGGATTGCTTAAAGCAATTGTCCTCTTCTTATACATTGGAAATAGGATCTGAAAGCACTGATAGTGAAGTGAAGCTCTTAGGTTAGGTCTGTTTATTTGGCAATGTTTATTCGGTGTTTGTAGGTGGAAGCTCCATCACAGCACTTATATAAGATAGTAATTGCCTATTCTTGTATTACCTGTATTCTCTACTAAGGTTTAATCCCCATCAGGGACTGACCTTGTCTATTTGGCACACAATAGGGACACACCAAATATTCATTGAATGAATCTGCCTCATGTACTGAGTTCTCTGCTAAGTGCTATGGTAGAAAAAAATTGGGAAACTGTAACACAGTTTCTGCCATTTGGGAAGATGAGGCTAAATAACAATAAAGATGGTGTAAAATCAAGGGATCATATTAGTGTTTTGATAATGAGTGCAATAGAAATTCACAGGAGAAAGGAATTCACCTCCTCTGAAGTGGTGGTAGGTGACAATGGGGCCACACTGGGGTGTCAGGGTGAGGTCGTGGGATAGTGAGAGAGTGGTAGTCCTAGGAGTAATTGTAAGCACCTGGGCAGGAAAGAGACTCTTAGTTGGGGTAAAGAAGAGGCCTATTTTGGGTATGATCACCATATTTTCCAAACTAGAAATAAAAACTTATGGTTTGACATTGGGTAGAATGTCACATATTCTGAAGAATCTTCTTTAATATAATGTTGGGAAGTAACAGGCTATAATGGTGAAAAAGTAGGTTTGTAACTAGAAGAACATAAATACAGGTCTCTTCAGACTAGCTGCAGCTTAGGTTTACTTTCTTTTGCATACTTCAGAGGTTTTCAAAATTCTCCTCCTTTATTGGTACCTATGTAACCATTGTTCCAATGAAATCTTTTATGAAAAGCAGAATAAGTAAATATATGTAACAGTGGAGCTGTCCCAGTTGATGATGAGTGGGGTGCCTTGTATTAGAAAACCAAATTCATATCACAAGACCAATTATATCAACTGAAATAAGAATTACTAATTTAGTTTATGCTCAGATATTAAAATAGTTGTTCTGGTATTATAACATCAAAGTTCTTGTGCTTGCAATAAATTATGAATGGAGATAACTATCTTGAGATGTTTTCTTTCCTCTGCCTGCACTTACCCACACAGTAACCAGTTGTCTTTGATGTCAGCTTTTTGGTTTTCTAAATACAGGTGAAATTCCCATTTAAATCTTAAAATCAAACTCGTCTGTTTTTCGGCTTTGTTTTCAGGCTAGTGTGAGAAACACCAACGGCAGGCCCATCTCAGATCTTCACTATGGCAACTCATACAAGAAGCTGTTGAATTAGACCCGTTTCCTATAGATGAGAACCCATACAAGCTGTGGTGAGTTGCCAATTTAAAAATATTCCTTAGTATGAAAACTGTGATCTATATAGCCAATTTAAATATTGCATATGGTTTGGTATATGGATCTGGAGAAATACTGCTCCAAATAATTTCAACTACAGAAGTGAAAATCAATAGAACAGAAGTTTAATAGTTGGTGTGGTACTACTAATACCACATACAGTAGTGAAAATTCTTGAGGTGCATGAGTGCAGCATATAACACTGTAATACTACCACCATGGATGATACCTGCAATTAACATTTTCATGTGGCAGAGTAACAGCTGGGTACCATTATTTTTAAGTGACTTTTATTACTTGCAACATTGTACTATATTTTACAGATTCATCTCCTTTAGTAGAAAAATTGGTTCTGAGCTAAATTATGGTTTTCAGTTTCTTTCAGGAAAACACACACACACACAGACGCACAGACACACACACCGTTTAGCTCTTCTGAAATACGAGAAGAGAAATCACAGTTTTATAAAACTCAATTCATGGGCATTTTAACCTACAAATCCTTTTGCTTAACAAAACAATATTAAAAATAGATCCAGTTGCTCTGCCTAGTTGGAATGACTTTAAAAACGTATTAATTTATAAAAATATCAGCACACACAGGTAGAATGTCCTTTTAAATCAAATACTTGCTGCTTCATAGTCACCAAAGTCAATAATCAATAGATTGCAGCAGAGATGAACGAGTTATAATCTGTCAGATAACATCTTTGAGAACTAGAGTATGACTGTGGTGCTTATAAAACTCCAAAAGAAGCTATTTTGAGCTAGTGATCAATATCTTTCTTTCATTTGCCTAATGGCTTATATAACTCTAGATAGGTAGGCTGCCCTGTGAATTAATGCATAACCTATAATTGTGGAAGACTGATGAAATTAATCCTGGAGTTATTTCATATAGTGATTTTATAAAACAATTCATAAAAAACCATCTGTCTACCATTACATTGAGAAAGTAGATCTAATAGCCATCACTATACTGCACTTAATTAACATGTATTCAATGAGTGTTATAAATAATTATATACAATTGCCAATAACAAACCATTTTTGACCTAAAATACAATTTTAGGACAATTTTATATGATGGAACTTAATATAGTATGTGTTACTCCCAGTGATGTAGAAAGCATACTATGTTCTTTCCATTCTGAATATTAATTCATTAATCAAACTCTTATTGAGAATCTGTGATTTCCGTAGCATGTTTAGCTTTTGGGGTAGATAAAAGACAGTCCCTGCTTTAAAGGAGCCTTCAGTCTAAAGAGTGTGGTACTTATAATAAAATGTGCTTATTAATGGCGGTAGTTGTGTTCTAAAGAGTGTGGCACTCATAAAGTGCTATTACATGGGTAAGTCTAGAGTGCCAAAGGAAGTGCATCAGAGGAGACTCTAACACAGATGTGGTAGAGATTAGTCAAGGAAGCCTTCCCAGAGGAAGGGATCTTTTAGTGGACTATTAAGCACAGTGAAATGATAGCCAGAGGAAGGGAGGATGCGGTGCACAGTGGGAACATTTTTTTAACAGACCCGGAAGCCTGAGAGAGCATGATTGTGTGGGGATGCTAGGTGTCATTTACTATGCTGAAGCAGAAATGGTAGTGGTAGAGATAAAGTTGAAGAGGGATACAAGACATGTGCCATGAAGGATCTCTTAGACAAAATTAAGGAGTTTGGATTTTGTTTCAAAGTGAAGAGCTTTTGAAAATTTTAAGTAGGAGTCTGACATAATCAGTTTATTTTTTAATTGTGAAATATACCATACACATAGAAGAGTGTATAAAACAAATACAGGTTAAAGAATAATTATAAATCAAACATAATGTGAACAAATCAAACAACATAAAACAAATCAAACAAATAAATCAAACTTGAAGTAATAGACTCCCAGCAAACCCCTATGTGTCCCTTTCCGATCATATACTTTTCCTTCCCCACCAGAGGTAACTGCTAGCTACTATCCCACCTTTTGTCATGCACATTACCTTGTTTTTCTTTGTAGGTTTTCCATCTCTCTGTGCATCTCTAGGCTATGAATCTTAGTTCTGCCTATGCTTCAGCTCCATGTATTTGGAATTATAGCATGTATACTCTCAATTGCCTGATTATTTTGCTAACATTGTGAGATTCTTTCATGTTCATGCATGTAGTTTATTCATGTAAATTGTTGTATAGTATTCTACCATATTAATATGCCAATATTTACTTATCTAGTCTATTGTTGAACATTTGGATTAAATATATTTTACTTAATGCTAGTATAAACATAAATATAATATCATTTTTATGTTTATATATATTAGTTCTCATAGATTCTGATATTTACCCTTCTCTAGGATAAATATCAAGGGAAGGAACTGCTGAGTTTTTGGGTATGTGCGCCTTTAATTTTACTAAATAATTCCAAAATATTTTCCCCAATCAGTTGCATCAATTTACATTCCCAGCAGCAGTATATGAGAAATTCTACATCCTCACCAACACTTGATTTACAAGTTCTTAAATTTTGCTAATCAGGGAGATACATAATTGTACTCTTACAAGTATTAATTTGCCTTTTGCTGATTACTAATGAAGAAGAGCATCTTTCCATTTTTTTTTTTTTTGGTAATTTGATTTTCATCTTTTGTGAAGTAGCTGCTCTAATCTTTTTGAGATGTGTCTTTCAAAATGATAACTAACACTTATTGAGTTCCCACTGTGGAATAGGCACTATAGTAAGTACTTTACAAACAGTTCGTCTTCCCAGTATCCCTATAATTTAGAGGTAAGGAAACTAAGGTGCAAAGAGGTTAAATCACTTGCTGACAATCACATAGTTAAGGAACAGTGGACTTAGCATTCAAGTCCAAGTCTTTCTGACTCCAGAATTCTTTACCTTCTCAGAGAGAGTTTGGAAGGGGATTTGAATGGAACCGGGGAGAACATTTAAGGTGCTATTGCAGGAATCCAGTTAAAAAAATAAGTGCATAAACCAAAGAATTGCCAGTAGGGCACATGTAACAAACCACTGGACTTGGTAATGAATGTGGTGGGCAAAGAAGAGGAAGGATTTTAAAAGTCTCAAGTTTTAATACCTGTCAGCTAGGTAGATTCAGTATTAGTCATATAATATTGTATGTGTATACACACACACACACACATTGTATGACTAGTACTGTAATATATTGTCATCTATTGTACCTATATTATACAATACATTTTCATATATATATTGTGTGTACATATATATATAAAAAATACAGGTATTGTGGTAGATACTAAGAATTCATTTTATAAAGTCCAGATATTATAGTAGGTTCTATGAATACATTTTATGAATCTACAAGTCAATGAGACGAATTTAGTTCACAGGCTCATAAATTTTAGGGTTTAAAGCAACGACACTGTTCATTTGGGTCAAATCTTCACATTTTTTTTAAAAGATATGGAAGTAACTGCTAAAAGAGGGTAAGTGGCTTGTCCAAGATCACATGTTACTAAGATCACATGTTACTAAGGTTAAGAATAGATACGATGCCTGCAAAAAAATGCAAAGGAATAGCAACCACCTGATTTTTAAATTAACAAGTGATGACACAATTAACCTATTCTATTTCCTAACCATTTCTCAGACCAGTCCCTTTTCATCTAAATCTGTTGTTACTGCCGTAATTTAGATCCTCCTCATCATCTTTAGCAGGTTTATTTAAGTAGCCTAGCATACTGTCTTCTTGTCCATTATTCTACCAGTGTAGACACTAGACTTGTTATTTAATTTGCAGTTGTTACCATATAACTGCCCTACTCAAAGAATTTTTGATATACTCTGTCATCCATGTAATAACTTCCCTTTTCCTTAAGACATGCCATACTCCTGGCTGGGCGGGCGGCTCAAGCCTTTGTGATCCCAGCACTTCAGGAGGTCAAGGCTGGTCGATCACCTGAGGTCAGGAGTTTGAGACCAGCCTGGCCACCATGGTGAAACCCTGTCTCTACTAAAAATACAGAAATTGGCCGGGCGTGGTGGCTCAACGCCTGTAATCCCAGTATTTTGGGTGGCCGAGGCAGGCAGATCATGAGGTCAGGAGTTCAAGACCATCCTGGCTAACACAGTGAAAGCCCATCTCTACTAAAAATACAAAAAATTAGCCGGGCATGATGGTGGGCGCCTGTAGTCCCAGCTACTCGGGAGGCTGAGGCAGGAGAATCACTTGAACCTGGAAGGCAGATGTTGCAGTGAACCGCGATCGTGCCACTGCACTCCAGCCTGGGCGATAGAGTGAGACTCCATCTCAAAAACAAAAAAAAAAGAATACAAAAATTATCTTGGCATGGTGGTGGGCACCTGTAATCCTAGCTACTTAGGAGGATGAGGCAGGAGAATCGCTTGAACCTGGGAGGCAGAGGTTGCAGTGAGCCAAGATCGCGCCACTGTACTCCAGCCTGTGCGACAGAGTGAGACTGTCTCTCTCTCTCTCTCTCACACACACACACACACACACACACACACACACACAATGATATGTCATACTCCCATCCATTCCCAGTTTAGACACTCATGACCTTTTAAATTGCCTGGAAACACCAGTGTGCTTCAGTCTCATCACATATACTCAGGTGTTTTCTACCTCTGTGATTTACTTCATGCTGTTTATACTGCCCGCATTCACTCTGCACAGCCCTTACTTACTCCTTTCCATCCTTTAAGACGTCTGTGACCCTGTGATGGTCTGGGGGCTAGCAGCATGGACATCTCCTGGAGCCTGATAGAAATGCAGCATCTGAGGTCCTACTACTTGGACAGATACACTGATTAAGAATCTGCATTTTCACAAGATTCCTAGGGAATTTAAATACATGTTAAAGTTTGAAAGTACTGTTTAGAATCACTTTAGATTTCATAAGATTCTGTCTCCTCCTGGAAACCTCTCAGATCCCTTTCATCCAGCATTCAATCATTCTTGGTGCTCTCACAGTAACCTGTGCATTATCT